GTTGAAATATTTTGACCCACAAGAAGCAGCTATCTCACACTGTATTTACACAGTCCCAGAACCACAGAATCACAGAATGGCAGGGATTGGAAGGGACCTCTGGGGATCATCTAGTCCAACCCTCCTGCCAAAGCAGGGACACCTAGAGCAGGTTGCGCAGGACCGTACCCAGGCAGGTTTAGAATATCTCCAGAGAAGGAGAATCCACAACCCGAAGTAAAGAAGTTCTTCCTCAAGTTCAGATGTAACTTTCTATGCTTCAGTTTGTGCCCACTGCCCCTTGTCCTGTCACTGGGCACCACTGAAAAGAGTCTGGCCCCATCCTCCTGACATCCCCCCTTTAGATATTTATAAGCATTTAAAAGATCCTCTCTCAGCCTTCTCTTCTCCAGGCTAAACAAGCCCAGCTCCCTCAGCCTTTCCTCATAGGAGAGATGCTCCAGTCCCCTGATCATGTTCGTAGCCCTCCGCTGGACTCTCTCCAGTAGCTCCTCATCTTTCTTGAACTGGGGAGTCCAGAACTGGACGCAGTACTCCAGGTGGGGCCTCACTAGGGCAGAGTAGAGAACCTCCCTCGACCTGCTGGCCACACTCTTCTCAATGCACCCCAGGATACCACTGGCCTTCTTGGCAACAAGGGCACACTGCTGGCTCCTGGTGAAGTTGTAATCCACCAGCACGCCCAGGTCCATCTCCGCAGAGCTGCTCTCCAGCAGGTCAGCCCCAAGCCTGTACTGGTGAATGGGGTTGTTCCTCCCCAAGTGCAGGACCCTGCACTTGCCCTTGTTGAACTTCATCAGATTCCTCTCTGCCCAGCTCTCCAGCCTGTCCAGGTCTCACTGGATGGCAGAACAGCCTTTTGATGTATCTGTCACTCCTCCCAGTTTTGTGCCATGAGCAAACTTGCTGAGGGTACATTCTGTCGCTTCATCCAGGTCATTGATGAATAAGTTGAACAAGACTGGGCCAAGTACTGATCACTAGGGAACCCCACTAGCTACAGGCCTCCGACTAGACTCTGCATCGCTGATCACAGCCCTCTGAGTTCTGCCACTCAGCCAGTTCTCAATCCACCTCAAATTAATTAAATAGAAAATCTCACCTGCTCTGAGCTAGGGCACAGGCACAGTGTTTGTGAGAAATAAAGAAGGCTACCTGAAAGGTAATGTTACTTCCCCTACTACTGTAGCACACTGAAAATTCAAAAACCACTACAGGAAGTATAATAAAAATAAATAAGAGAGAGAACATTAAACTGATGGAATTAACCTTTGTCATGTTTGATTCAATGAAGCTTCCTCTTTAGAAATTATCTAAAGCTGCTGGAGAAATTCCAGTTTATCACAGACCTCGGCATCAAAGTGATACTGGCAGTAGAGAAATATTTTTAAATATTCTCATCCTCTACATACTTCAATCATCTTTCCTCGTTTCTGGGATCAATTAATCAAGCTAGAAAAATAAAATCTCACTATTGCAGCACCTGCCTTTCCCAAAAGATAATTTCAGTTGTATTTTTTGCTGCTTTTTAACCTAAGAACTGTTGGGTTTGACTCCTGAAACAGAAAAGATTTTTTTTTTTTTTTACTCACAAATATACTGCAGATAAATGTGATTCATAGTCCCTTATAAAATGATTCTCCTTGCCAGAAAAACATTAAATATCGGGGAAAGTGTCCCCAGATGGATTACAGAATAGCAAATAGGCCTCAATGGGCTTTTTATTGTTGTTATTATTGCTTGACAAAGTAAAAATAGAGGTGTCTTCAAAGGTGTCTTTCCCTGGAATGAGCAACTCAGCATAATGAGAATTTCCATGCTGAAAAGGTTACAGTCAATGTTTATGGCTGTACATGTAGCATCTCTTCATCTACAATGCTCCACCTCTCCTAAGAAAGCTCAAGTTGTAAATTTTTTAGACTTCTACAGCACTTACCCCATCGGGGCCCAGAATGCAGATTTTGGATGCCCCTGTAATTGTGAGCAACCAGAATGACACAACTGAGTTTGCCGTTGCCTGCACGAAAAAATTATTTCTGCCTTCCTTCAAGACCAAGAGGTAAAGCTGAATGTTGCAGCTTTAGGTGCGGAAGACACTTTAGAGCCATTCTCTCTTGTTTCAAGTAGTATCTTCTGGGGCTAAAAAGAGAAAAGGACAAACTCCTGAGCGTAAATCTTTGCTTTCCCTCACTCTGATGAGAAGGTTGCATCTTCCTAGTCCCTTCCTTCCAAGCAGAGTCCCAGCTCGCAAACTGGACCTCCTGATTCATCGTGACAGATGTCCCCGACACCACCTCCTCCATCTGAGGGAAGATGAAGCGCCTGTTTGCCCCTAGACAGCTGATTCATACTGCCTGCCTCTCCCTTCAACAATGAAGTTCCAAGCAGACCATCAGTTTCCCGAGGTAACAGGTTTTCACAGCCAGGAGAAGGTGCGTGCCAAGGATTATTAATAGTGTTCCTTCATTAGTTAAGGGAAAGATAAATGTGACACCGCCACCAAAATCCCTGAATATCTGGTATCAGTGAGGAGTGGGTATCACCTGCCAAAAATAGAAAGAGCAAGAGAGATTATATAAGTGGGTTTCCTACCCAAAGTTCCATCTCTTTTTGACCACCTCTGTATCTAAGACCCTTTTCAAGCGTGCTTAGGAGAGATCCAAAAGGTAAGTACCCAGAAAATGTTCAAACTTCCACAGCAAACGTGGATTTACCCGCTCCCGGCAGGAACCCAGGACCTTCCCCCGAAGAAAAGCAGATCAGGGTATCTTCCATCCCTCTGACCCTATCCCCCTTCCCACAAACAAAAGCCCTGAGACAAAAAGGTGCCAGTCTTCCAAGCGCAGAGGAGTGGCTTCCTGCAGAGAAGACTCCACAGGAGAAGAAAGGGCCATTAAAAGAAGGAAATAGGTGAACACATTGAAGGGGAACAAGGAGAAAAGGAGGAGAGAAAGTGAGAAAATGGAAATAACAAAACCGGGAAGGGGAGGGGAGAAGGTGAACGAGAAAGGACTCGGTGAACAGAATTTACTGAAACGCTCAGTCGTGAACCAAGGGCAGAAGCCCCCTCCGAAACACGTTGCAGAAGCGAGATCTCTCTCGATTGTATGCGATGGGATGAAGTTGCTTTGCTTGGTGTGGTCATTAGGAAGATAAAGGACATGTGTCACCCTTTTTGCAAAGGACTCCTGGCTTTCTGCTTCAGCTTTTGGCATGAGGGCATCTTGTTTGTCATGAAATTCTCCCTGAATTGTTTGTTGTTGACAAGCGCGGGTTGATTTCTACTTAATTTACTCAGATCGTTTTGTTAGTAAGAACGTCATTGTTCTGGAGCTGGTGGAAGGGGGAGCTGAGCTGTACGAAAGCTTCTGCGCAGACAACTTCAAAATTCACGGTGTGGCTTTTGCAAATAGTTCGGGCAGGAAAATTGGCAAAATCTCAGAAACGAAGCAAAACGCGTCACTCATCTCACAGGGATGATGAGGAAAAAGGTGAAGGGTCGAGTGCGAAACTGCCTATTCGTGAAACGCCTTTTATATCAGAGCAACGCAACAGTTTTTTGACTGAAGCTTGGTGGTTAAAAGCTTCTAGAAGTTTGCCAGCCACTGTTAAAATGCATGACGGGCCTCGGCCGGCCCTCCGCGCTGGATGCCCAGCTGCCCACTCCGTGACCCGTGGGTCGCTGCCCTCCCCGCTCTGCCCACGGATGGCGGGGGGGTGCTAGGGAAGCGTTATTCGGCCTCTGCAGAGGGCTCCACCTGATCTGAATCCTTGCTTTTCAGGCACCTCTTGCTTTTCACCTTCGCAGCACGATTAGGCTGTGGTGGCCCGAGGGATCCGGTGGCGAGGGAAAGCGGGGTGCAGCGGGAGCTGCCTCAGACGCCTGGTGGTTTGCTTGGTATGAGGCTAATTAATCCGGGTGGCCCCTGCCAGCGACCGGCTCGGGTTCCCAGCGAGGGCAGCCCACCCCTGAAACGCACTCTGCCTTGTCAGCAGAGCAGGGCCGACACCGACACACGAGTCGCCCGCAGCGAGAGCATCTTCGCTGCCGTCTGTAAGGACCTAAAAAGACAAGAGAAAAATGACAGTCCCTCCCACGACGAAGAGGGAGTTTAAAACAAGAAAAGGGAAAAAAAAAAAAGGAAAGGGGGACCCAAATGTCACCTCCTCCTCCGCAGAGGGAAGGACGGGGGCTCATACTCCCAAAAGTGCTGGGGACGCACCGACGGCCCAGCCTGAGTTCTTGCAGCAGCCACCCCCTTCTCAAGGCCATTGGGGACGAGAGTGCAACCTGTCTCTCCCAAAGTGGAGAGGCCAACCCCCCCACAGAGATCTTCCCCGCTACTGGGCCCTTGTCTCAGCTACCTCAGCCTGCTGGCTCCTGCCCAAACTCTGGTGAACGGGTTGGACTGCTTGCCATATGGGCGCAGTTTCTTGGAGGAAAAATAAACAACAAAAAAACCTAAAAACAAACCCTAGAAAACACATCACAGTTCCAAAATCTTTTTCTGGCTCTGCCGGGGGATGCCCGGTCCCGCCTGAGAAGCCCACCACTGCACAGGAGCTCCCCACGAGCACGCTGTCACCTCGCACCGTGTCGTATCGCGGCTCTGCAGCATACTGTGCATTACAAACGGGATCTGTAGGATTCGCAGGGGTGTGATAATTAATTCAGCGAGGATGATGCTTAATATGGACTGGCCCGAAAGAAACGAGGTCTAAAAGGAATATGTGTGTGAAGGGGAGGGGGGAGGGAGAAGGGGAGACAGTTAAAAGTGCTTGAACGATCAGGCAAGTGTTCAAAAGCTACATTACATTTGCTTCCCGACCTCGGGAGCAGCTGGAAGCTCGGCATGCACTGCAGTTCCTTGCTTATCATCCCTGAATGTGACTGGTGAAGCTCATCCCGACCGGCGAAAGGAAAAAAGGCTCCGCTCTGCACCACCGGCTTTTCCACCGCACCCGGGAGCTTGACCTTGGCACCACGCTTCCCGCACGCCGGGCCGTCCCCGCGCGGCGCTGCGGCTCCCGTCATATGAGCAGAAACGATGAGAAAAGCGCTTTTTAATCTTTTCGCACTTGCCTACTTCTTCAAACAGTTGCAGGATGGCTATGACTGACGTGCTCAGCGCTGAGGATATCAAGAAGGCTGTGGGAGCCTTTTCAGGTGAGTGCTCTTTTTTTTTCCTCTTTCCCCCGCTTTTTTCCCCCCTTTCATCTCTTCAGCTCAGGATAGCAGTGCATTTATTTAAGCTCAGGGAAGATCGGAGGATGCGGCTAGACAAAACACGGAGTGAGGATGTGTTGTCAGAAGTGCAGTGGAAGCCTGACAGGTTTATCAAGCGCGGGGCTGCATCCTCAGCAAAGTTGCCCAGCACATTACAGAGCTGAAATATTTATTTTAAACACAGGCAAACAGTAACTGCAGACAGACGTTGCTGCTACCGAGAGGATACTTTCAAAGGGAACAAACCCCTCGGCAAAGCAGGGTGGATTCTATCTTGACGTGGGATGGGGAAGTCAGCTGCGGATGCTGGCAGCTTCCCACTCGCCCCCAAAATGCAGTTTCAGGTGTTGCAAAACTGCTGTTTCTCATTCCAAGGAGATAAGAAACCTCTCTTTTTACTTCTTACGCGGAATCCCCGGGTGGGCTTTGCTGTTCGGGATGGAGCAGATGGCAACAGCGGAGCGAGCAGGTGCACTGCTCGGCTGCGGGAGCTTTCTGCAGGATGAACGGCTGCAGCGGTGCACACCTCGCACTCGGAGTCCTCCGGGCTTCAGATATTCTCCCTGCCCTCCTCCCCCCATTCACCGCGACCCATAAGCTGGCAGAAAACCCTCTTCGTGCTGACAAGAGGTCCGGGCAGCCAAGGTTGCTCTCACAGAAACGCCAGAAATGGTGCTCCGGGATGCACACGTTGTATCCATCTCCCCCGCTGCCCCCCAAACTACCTGGCTGCGGGCACCAGCCGGGGGGGAGCCGGCTCGTCCCGCTCCGTGCCGTGCTGCTCCGTGCTGTGACGTGACCTTCCTGAACAGGGGGAAGCGCAGAGCCCGCTGAGCCCGGATAAACTCAGCAGCCGGGGGGGTCGGAGGGACCAACAAACTGCTCCGCTCGACCCAGCAGCTGCTTTTCTTTCTTGTTAGCTCCCATTGTTCTAGGGCCACCTCCAAGTGTCGGAGCAGACGCAATTAGCAGCAGCTAATGACAGATCTCAGTCAAGCAGGTCCCAAAAGACTGAGCCTCCTGAATTTTATGCAATGGGAAAAGCTGCAGCGGGAATAAGGATGCATGGGGGGGGAGGGGAGGAACACGACTCCACAGCATGTTTTGGAGGTCTCTGTAGTGGATTTCTAACCCATGCTAGGCTACACGGGTGGGGTGAAGGATGGGAGAGGTGGAGCAGGTAAACTCATTTACCCAGGCTCCGGGTTGGTTTCCCGCGCCGGGTCCGGGCTGGCAAAGCGCGGTTGCGCAGACCTTCTGCCAGTGCAACGCAACGCTGATTTCTAGTAAGTCTTGAGGAAAAACAAACCAGAACCGAAACAGCCCTGTGCTCCAAAACGCTTCTCGTCAATGCCACGCTCTGTAGTTGAGCAAGAGCGGGTTTTTTTTTCCTCCAGGAGTGGAAATGTCAAAAAGTGACAGCGATCTAGTAGTCAGGGTCTGCTCTCAAGTGACTGTTTTAGCATAAAACTTAGCAAAAAAAAAAAAAAGTGTTTAAGGCACTGAAATGAGCCCAGGCAGGTCAGACTTCAGCTCCAGCTCTGTCCCAGACCTCCTGTGTGACCCTGGGCAAGTCACCATCCCTCTGTAGTTCTTCACCCACAGAAGGGAGACCCTGCCCCTCTCCCCTTCCGTTCACCTCCTCGGCGCCTGCCAAGCGCAGCCCACAGCATCGTGTGCACCAGGCTCCCACGGTGTCTCCCAGGGCACCCCACACAGCACAAACCCACGGGGACGTGTCGGTGCATGTTTCAGTCATTTTTCTAAGGAGTTCTCCGGCTTTTCATTTCCCATAGCGGCTGAGTCTTTTAACTACAAGAAGTTCTTCGAGATGGTAGGATTGAAAAAGAAGAGCCCAGAAGATGTGAAGAAGGTTTTCCGTATTCTTGATAAAGACCAAAGCGGCTTCATCGAAGAGGAAGAATTAAAGTAAGTAAAGATGTGTCCTTTCTCCAATAACCTCACCTTCAGAGTCTAATTTCCTGTTTTCTTTTTTACAAGACCCTAGATAATAGCATACAACTCAGTCTCTCGGCTAGTATTTGTGTGCAATAATCAGTTGTTTGCTGACTGTACGAGCTGAAGTGTGTTGGAGGCGGCCAGCTGTCGCTTTCATCGCAGGGCCCTGAACCACGTGAGTGATCAATACCTTACAGATAGTTCTTCAGTCAAGTGCAGTTTTGGAGTAAAGTGCTCTCCCGGAATGTTAAAGAAGGTCAACATCAGAAGATACAACCCTGGATTCCAACTCATAGATCAAAACAGTGATACAAATAAATATGAAGTGAAACTGTTCTGGGAAAAAAAACCCTTTCCTTCTTTCCATGCCTCCTCTTTAGGTTTGTACTGAAGGGCTTTACCCCAGATGGGAGAGACCTGTCAGACAAAGAAACGAAGGCTCTTCTGGCTGCTGGAGATAAAGACGGTGACGGTAAAATTGGCGCCGACGGTATGTGATTAGAGGAGTAAACTTTGGCAGTAACAATCAAATATTACTCTTACGTATGAGAACCGAGGAAATCTAGGAATCACTGGGGGCTGTGACCTTCTGAAGGGCACAGATTGGATTTAATGAAATGCCAAGTCCTGCTGCGTCTGCCGTGCCTTGCGCGCAGGCTTTAGGGGAAACAGGCGCCCAGTTCTGACACTAGAGGGGGCAAGGGATGCAGCTGAGGCACCCCACGGCACAGCACTGGGCACCGCTCCGACTGCTACCTCAATTCGTTTAATTTTCCTGTTGATTTCAGTGGAGTGAGGATCAGGACGCTGACAGTTCAGAGAGCCAGGCTTGACTGTAAAACTTACAAAAGAGAAAGAAAAGAAGCTGAGTACCAGCACTTCTATTTGATGATTAGTAAATACGAAAGTAATGCATGACTTTGCAAAGCAATGCTCTCAAAATTCAAAGTACAGTCAGTCTGCGATGGAATTTCCATACAATAGCTTTCTATTCAGCTGTTGGTAGTGTTTATGTGGATCTCCACAGCTAGGAAAGCTTGTCACTCCCTTTTACTAAATATGAGAACTACGAGAAAAGAACAACTATTCCTCTCACAGCATTGCTTAAAAAATTACTGCCGTTTTCTGTTGCCCCTTGGGATGAATCAAATTAGCCCACATACAAAATTTCTCCTTTTTCCTCTTTCTGCATCCCTGAAACACACTGGAAGAGGCATGAAGAGATGCATTTCTCAATTAAATCTTTCCTCTTTGCAGGAGATAGTTAGTAGTGGAAGCTCGCGGCCAGAGTACTGAATCACATAGACAGCAGGCAATTGCTAGGTTTTCACCATATTGACAAGCCATCTGATAGGTTGAAATCTAAAAAATATCTAAAATCCCTCATATCTCTGTGTTACCTGATCGCTGAGATTTGTTAAAAAAGCTGCCTCCAAGAAAAAAAAAAAAAAGGCAATTAAAAAAGGAATAAAAAGCAAAATGAGGTTAAGTAACACAGTTGCCTAATTTAGAAGCTGAAAAAATGACATGCAAAATCAGCCACCGACATATTACTCAGGTGATATATTAGCCAAACTGCCTGTTCATAGCACACTGGCATAACAGTGACTATGGTCTTGTTTCTAGACTAAAGCCTCTTAATTTCTCAGATCATGATTATGTTACGGTTGCAGAGGAGCAACTGTGAAGCATCTAGGAGAAGTTCCTGCTAAACTTTGGCAGCGCTACTGAACCAAGAGTGTGTCATCATTTAAAATTTCACATCCTTTGTTATATGGGTCCTCCTTACTCCCATTAAAATTAGTGGCAGCACTACTAAAATTAGCACGCAAGATTTTCAGAAGAAAACTTGATTCAGGTAAGTAAACTTACAGCTGATCTGCCAAACTCACATCAGATACATACTCAGTTATTCCCAGAGGGCTGCTTCTTTTTCTTCTGTAATTTTTACCCCTCCCTAACTTTGAACTGGAATTACTCTGACTTTATACAAGATAGTATGAAGAGAATTAAGGACTTCTTTCTTTTGCTGCTTCTGCCATATACCTACTACACAACATTATCAGTTTCTTTTCCATTTCTTAAATTTGACTCCAACAGCAAATTGTTACACTGGACAGGCTTGAAATACATGCAATGTTATCAGCTGGGACTGTGACCAAAGGATGAGGATGACAGATACTTTCTATCTTTTCCTTTGGTTCATAATCCAATTCCAGATTATAACTGCCTATGTAAATAAAACGTAAAGTCATGAACATACATCACATTCATATTCAGTGTTGCAATGCTGTATCTGTTTCAAACCATTCGTTTCCCTGTAACTGAATTGCCAGGCATCACTTTTATCCCTTACTTCAAACATCAGCCTCATACATCACTAAATGATCACAAACACACAGCCTTTCACAGGGATTGATGCTAACACACTAGGTGGCCCTTGAACGCTCTCCCCTCAGGAGCCCACAGCACTTGTGAGAACTGATCTTTGTGGATTTTTAACACCACACAGCCATCTTTCTCAGACGTATCATCACAAACTTTAATCCCAACCTAACCAGCCTTCTTCCAGTCAGAGGTTTCACATTACAAATTTTCTCTTAGGCCTCCTGTTTTAAACCTTTTATCATTCCTGCAAGACTGTTCAGCTCAAAAATCGTTCCACCAGCTCACCTCTTTGTCTGATCAAGATTTGTAATTTGTGGCTGATCTGCCAGTTTCAAACAGTTGAAAACTTGCAGCCTGTTCATGCAAGTCATGATCATTTTCTGTGTGATGTCGAGCCCCCTCCATCTTCAACTGATGTGAACAGAAGATGATGAGTTGGAAAAAAATTGCAGGCCAACACTAGGTTACCTAATAAAACTACAAACGTTAGCTCCCAGATTGGTCTGGAAAGTGATACTGAAGCAACTCTGTCAGCTTCAGGAGAACATTTATAAGAAAGAGGATGAAAAGAAAATGAAGATTTCTGTTCATAATGTTTTCTTAATCTATCTTGTGCATTAGCACTGGACACACAAATCATGCCTTTCAGTTTCTTGATATTAATAGACTTGAAAAAGTACATAAAGAATCTAAAGATCATGCACTGTAGACAGAACAAATCCCAATTTTTATCCTAGTAAATCTAAGTATTTTCCTTGATACAGCTCAACTTCCGCAGATATTTTTAAATATTTCAATTATTTTCTTTAAACATTGTAAAAATGAGACATCAAGCATTCAAAATTACAACCAATAAGTCATGGCCTTGCCACAGGTAAAAGACAAGACAAAAAAGAAAAATCTTTGGAAGTCCTTCTTATCCCTCTTTGCGCTCTTGTGTCTGCTAAAATAAATTAGTGTAAGTCATTACTTATAGTTTCCCAAGCAGATTCGCTATTGTACAGATAATGTAAAAAATCTGATGAGAGAAATCATTAGCCTACAGCATGTCCTCTGTAATTATCTGTCATTTCAATAAAATCCTACAGGGTATACATTAGGCTCATATAAACTTGTAAACTATACTGAACACAGTGAATCAATCCTCTCCTTTTAAGTCCAAGCTTTGACACAAGATAGCTAGCAAATTATTTTATATGACAAAATAGTCTAAATCCTTGTAATTTAAAACTATTATTTGTGCAAAGGAAGAAACAATTTTGTTTGGAAGGAGAATTAGAACTGGAAAAGTTGATGTAGTCAATCACAAGGATTCTCTCAATAACAGGCCAGTCAGAAGCCTTAAACATTTACAAGAATGACCAGCAGGCAGGGGCTAATGTACAGCGCCTTATCTCAGAAGTTTTGCATCTATGAATACACTTTGTAACAATGCCTCCACGAGCCACCTGTGGTTGAAGTAACCTTTACAGCAAAATAAACAGTGAACTAGTTTACAAGATTATTCAACTGGAACACCTCCAAAATATTTAAAGTATATTGAAAACCCTGGAAAAAGTACAAAGCGCATAGCAGTTATTCATGAAGGAGTATTTTATGGTTTGCTGGCTAGCAGAAAGTACCTGTGAAATATATTGCCATTAAGTGATAATACTACTATCATAATGTAGCATAGAAAATATTTCGCTGTCGGAAATAACCTTTTCCAAATATATTCTGTAGATACATATTATTATAAAAAGGATTTAATTTAGCTGTAGCAAGTGTGACAACTTGCTCTAACAGAGTATGCATAGTTAGCTTTCCCTTTTTGGAAAGGTTTCATCCATTGCAGTTCATGTTCCTCTCTGCAGGATTTATTCACACAGTAATTTAATAATCACAGCCTTTTTCGACTTTTTGCCCAGAATAGTCTGGGTTTCCATGACAAATACTTTACATTATCCCTAAAATTCACTTTGCAACACTTTCGATCTATGTACCCCCCATGTACAGGATTCACACACGTTTTGTGTTAAGTAATCTGCATCACTAATCCTAATTTGGATTTACATCTTTCAAAATGATGGATAAATTTGGATTTAATTTAAACCCTCTGACACTTTTATTTCTCTGTCTGGTTTGTCAGCGATTGGCAACCTGTCTTTTGGACACATCATCAAAAGTGCTATCTGTTTGTACACACCAGTCAGTCTCACTTGTTAAGAGTTTAGCATTTTCCAACGGAACATTAGAATGTTCTTTAAAATGCGTAATTTCTATCTTCTGTCTTCTTTAGTTGCAAGACATTACTCTTCATTATGTTAAACTTCAATAATTTTCTCTAGAGCCTTTACAGATGACTGCTTCCCCTATTTGTCATGTTCCCCTCAGCTGATTACTTTAAACCCATAAACCACTCTCTCTGTATACCCTCTAATCCCTTTATCAACTTTGTTGCCCTTCTTGGGATTCCCTCCAGTCTGTCATTTTTAACGCTCTGAGGCATGCACAATGGTGCAAGGTATTCTCATGTGTAACTGTTCCAAGGTTAGATGGAGTTAAGAATTATAACCTCCTTGGGTAATACAGCATTCAGAGTGCAGCATGCCAGGCAGCTATTCACAGGGATAGAAACGTGCCTTTTCCACGCTTTATCACCCTGCTGAAAGGCATTATACATACACCAAAGCATAAAAAACTCCAACCTGCAAATAGATACATCTATGTAAATATTATGGATGTAACACTAATAAAGGCCACAGGGTAAAATCCTGGCCCTCTGAGATCACAGGAATTTTTCTCCTTATCACCAGTGTGGCCAAGATCGCTACGTAGGTTTGTGTCAGCCTCCCATTTTTGTAATCTGTCATTTTCAGTCAATTTGCCATTACAAAGTTGAGTTTAAACGTAATTTATTTATAATATACGGACACGAATACTCTGAAAGACTCATTAATGAGTCTCTTTGCCAAACTCTGATATAAAGGAAATGTATCTCACTGCAAAATTAAATTTCTAGTTCTTGCCTTCATCCCATTGAGAGTTACAAAGGAGTAACAGGGAACTAATCAAGTTCTTCAGATGAATAGTGGTGGACAATCTTGGCAGTCTGGCATGTATAGCATTTCTCCCTTACCCTCAAAAAATCCTTTCATTTCACTGTAACATTTCCCAAGTCATACTTTCCCTTTAACTAACTTGGATTTCTTTGTTCTTCTGTTATTGTGATGTTTCTGCTACACCAGTGACTCTGTAATCATTGTAATATGCTTCTTCCTTCTTTACATCTTCTTAATACTTCTAAAAAATTTTTCCCTTCTCCAGAATTTGCAACTATGGTGGCTGAATCATAAAGGCTTTGACCAATGCCTTTGAATTCTGTTCTATTTATTTATTTTATACTCCAGCTCTGTTCTCTGCAATCCTGCAACTCTGTAACTGTGCCGAAAGACACTGTTAAAATAAAGGTCACATCAGTCTGGGCTTTATTCTTTCTCACTATAACTTGCTTCTTATTTCATGTGGGCTTGGCACACGCTGAGAGAAAATTTTACTCTTTTTTGCTGACATCCTGCTGCTTTATCCCTAGATAGGGTAAAGTGGGAATAAATTAAAAAAACTGATTGGGGTAAAACATGCATATAATGAGCCATTCAGTCCAAGTTCTGAACTGTAGCAAAACTGACTGTATTATTTTTAAGCCATCCCTGCTAAATGGATGCATATTCATAGCCTGCAAAATCTCTAGTGATAGCACTTACCCAATTCATTTGGCAGTTTGTTCTTTCGACTTCATGAGTGTTATAGCTAAAAAGTATTTCCTAATATTTAACCTACATCTCCCCTGCTGCACTTTGGTGATCAGTAAAATGATCCTTGTCTGTATCACTTGTTAAATTTGCCTGTGTAGGGGGATTTTTGGATAAAAGGTTTGACAGGAATATCAGTTGGTGCCAATCATGCATGGGGACGACTTCATAAGCTATTACAAAGCGGTCACTTCTGAAACACAGGATATGTTTACTAGCAATGCTACACAACCATCTAGGACAGGAACAATGGAATACTCACAAGAAACCACAGTATGAATTTCAGGATTCAGGTGTGATGCTACTGTTGACACTCCCACTGTTAAAATAATATACCAAAAATTCCAATCAAAAAACATTTCTTCTAAAACTTTACCAGAGACATGAATATCTTTCTTTGAGTTACACATAGGAAACAGAGACTCAAGCTAAGGAAATAACTACCCAACAGTAAGCCTATTACAGAGCTAAGAGCTAAATGCTTGTTTCCCAAATCCTGTTTAGTAACTTTGGCACCTAGATCACGTTTTCTATCTTCTTTTTTTTTTTTTTTAAAAAAAAAGGCAAAGATTAAAGGGGATGGGGAAATCACTTTTAAGCAACATCTTCCCCACATCTTGACAAAGAGCATTGATTACTACTGCAATAAAAAGGCAGGATATTTGCCATTTTTGGATTCCAAACTATCCCCTGCAGCAATAATACCTTATTCCATTCAGATTTATCATCACTAGCTTAGCATAAACAAAAAGATAAAGCTGAAACCCTGTCACCATCACGTTGTACAGAATAACACCATTCTCTGCCACAGTGATTACCCACTGCTACTCAGGAAGCCAATAAACACTCCCTAAAGCCATTCTAGATTTCCACTCTGTAGTAACTTGCAAGGAAGACTTTTTGCTGAAGCAGCTGTGAGTTCAAAAGAAATCCTCTGGTTTTGCACAATGTATATACGGATCTGAAGCATGTATTGATTTTTAAGTATTCTAAATAAAGCAAATGGAAACGTACTACAATGAAGCAAGTTTATGTCCTTTTTCTCAGCAGTTGCTGACCTCGTGTGGTAATAAAGCGTAATTACAGGAGTATACAGGACTACAGAAAAAACATTAGGAATCCAGTTATTGAAGCAGCATGAATGAAGATCCATGGAATCAGAGAATCGGCATAAAAATCGCTGTATAAATAAAGCCCTTTATGGTCTCTTTCTATTCTTTGAACCTGCAAGGATTTATATTTTAATGCTTCACTGGGTGGCATGAAAGCTGAAATTTTATCAAGGGCTTTAACAAAAAATAGCACAATACAACAAATAGCAAATAAACACAGCCGTTAATGAGTCGAAAAAAAAGAGTTATAGTACATTACATGAAATAAAGTAAGTTACAGCAACGTTAATGGGAATATTTTACTGGCATAGCAGTCTGAAGACCCCAATGTATCAGTCTTTCTTCACATTATTCCCTTAATCACTCCTGAGCAAGCAACACCGAGTGCCTGATTTGGCCTGAAATTTGTCAGCTACAGAGCAGTGGATAAGATAAAAAGCAATACCCTTCACTTTCAAACTGAAAAAGTTACAGCATGGATACCACTTACAATGGGTAGAGAGACCTCCAAAATACCATCTTTACTTTTCATGGTGACAGTACCTGATACTCTGAACATGCACTCGGTCAGTTCATTCAAATATGCAACTGATATACTCAGAATCAATATAATCAGAATTCTCACAAAATCTGTTTTAAACCACTTTTTTTCCTAATGGTATTTTAAATTCAAAGTTCAAATTTCAATAGTAAAAAACAAGTTCAAATGTGTAACACAGTAAAACGGTACCCAAATGTAAAACTACTCTTTGATCAATTATCATCAAACTACTACATTTTTTCACTGCTGGCTCTTCAGTGTTTATCTTAGATTCTTACTTTTCCCACCCCAATTCCTTCCAAACCTTCCCCAAATCTTGTATTGTTCTGTTTCAAATTAACTGAAATTCTTACAATTACCCTGTCAGGTGGAAGTTATCTAGTCATGGCTCAAAATGCAGCAAACATGCAAAATTTTAAACAAAAATAAAAGGTAATATTATACATGCAATATATTATTCATTTTCATATCGCTCTCATTTTAATGTCTGTAAGACTGTCACATAAATTACTGTAAAGACTGAAGAAAGCAGAATTTGCCACAAAATTTAATGAAGCTTTCAGCAGAGTGTGAATTATAGTACGCTTGACAAATACAAAAAATCCACATTACCCTGCAATGTACTATTTCATGAAGAAAGACATTTTAATTTCCAAATGCATAAGCAAAGGAGCAAAATTAAGTTTCTCCAAGAAACATTTACCCTAAATTTCTTAATTGGCATCTTACATCATCATCTTTGTCCTAAACAGTAAGCGTTCCATAATTTTCTCCCCTGCTTTAATACAGTAGAAGTTATGAAAAAAAACAACTCCAGCCATCATGTTGAAGACAAAATTTTAAATAATCAGTACACATCCTTTCCTTAGATTCACAGCCAATGGTTTGTCATAAGACACAACTGGACGATTTAAGATATGTAAATTATCTTTATACATAAAAAAAGACACTACTTGTTCACTTTGATATTATATATTGCTAGCAAAAAAATACAGCTCACTCTCAGCTTCAACTCGAAAGAAGAGCCAGATCCTCCAGCCATAGACAAACCATCATTTCATGACAAATTACGTCAGCATTTAACAAAAAGGGTTTCTACCAACAGACCATCACCAGCTCTTCAAACTTCTCAGATCACCATTTACCATCACCAAACGCTTAACCAACAAATTCATAATTGTTTAAGCTTTAAAGAACTTGCCAAGCTCTTAATGGAGTTTCATGGATCAGCAATTTTCCACGTCTTATTTTGGGAATGGACTGGAGGCCATAACACCTGTCCACTTCGCAGAAGCTGAGCTAGGATTTATATTTACAGTCTATTCACCAGTCCTGAGCTCAGTACTGCCTAATGTTGTTTAACTGCTTCCACACTTTGTTCACTTCACCAAAGCAAACCTTGCTTGTTTGTTTCTTTCGCCTTTTCTGACTTCGCATCTTTTGAGGGGAAGTAAGGACACTTTTCCCTAGTTTCTACATAATTGGAAAGACTGGAAATGCAGTTCATGTTCTCCTTTCCAGAAACACACACACAGTTTTATCAAAGCCTCTGTGCTGTAGTAGCTAAACATTAACAATATTCTGTCCAAAAGAGAGTTAATATTGTTATAGAATTAAAAACTGCAGCATTGCACAATATTTACAAGTTCTGCCTACACAAAATAACATCAAAGATTATGAACCTATAGAAGGTTCATGGAAGACACAAATTAGCCCACAAATTTTTTATTAATGAGCCTAAAGCATGAAAGAACTTCATTTGACTCTCAAATCCCAGCTTGAGATTTAAGTGGTCAGCGGATAGAGAATGCATTATTTTATTTATAAATCAATTGCAAATGAAAGAACTTATATGGCATGCATCAACACACCAAAATTCAGCTGTGGTTAAAGCATGTTATGACATTGTTTTTCTAACACCACCTAGGAACCATGGGTAACACAGATATAAGAGCACAGGCTTCAGCACATGCCAGTGATTAAAACATCTCCTCCAGGTCCTGGACTCTCCCATTGCTAACATGTACTTGAACCTCAGCTCCTGCATCTTCATTCAAAACTTTACCAGACTGTAGGATCTCCTAATGTGGGATCATTACTTCAAAGCGAGGAAGTGCATTTCTGGTTAGTGCTCTTCTGGTTAATAAAATAACAGAGCTTAACAAAGGTTGATACACTTTTAAAGACAGAAGTTAATATAAATACAAATATTAGAGTCCCTTCTCCAGCCACCAGAAAAACAGAAGGGACTGCATGAGCTACAACAACAAATGAATCAGAAGATCCAAATGAAAATACTGAAAGGCGCTTAATAAGTCCATGGAACATGCAGCTAGAAAATCTGTTGTTTTTCAGAAACTCATTTGGTCTTCCACCCAGGAAAATCTAAGTGAAAGGATCCTGTCGGCGCCCGAGTCAGAATATGCAACTCTTACTGCAACAACAGTTTTTAATTCTAGGAGATGCTCGTCTGAGCAATTAATGGCTTATGTACAAAATTAGAGTTGGTTTCCCTGGTGTTACAATGGTACAACCCTGGCATTTATGGATACTTAGGCCTTCGGGTGGTAAGAACACGGTAACCCTCTATCAATACCAACTTTGCCACTAGAGCTTCTAGGCAGGTCAGAGGAGGCACAGGACAAGAGGTCAAATGCTTAACTGTCAATAACCAGAGGGAAGGTCCATGGATTGCTAAAAAGCCAGATGGTTCAGAGACATTTACAGATTTTGGAAACGTTGCCTGGAAGGATTTTTTTTAATTCTAACCTTTTAATTGTTAACAAACTCAACTTCCTGTATTTTCACAATGCAATGCAGTTTAAAAAAAAGGTATCACTAGAAAGATACTAAAGTATATAGGTAAATTATCAAGCACTTAGTACCGCTTTAATATAAAGAGGAATA